GTTGGAGACACTGAAGGTCATGGCTGCGAACCGACAGCAATGGCGATCATGCTGTCACTTGTTATCAGACCAGAATGCTTAAAATTGTATGTATGCACGGTTGAACTGTGTACTCTGTGTGTTGACCATAGAGGTTCGCTTTCTTTTCCCGTCCCTAAAAATAGGCCCAATCCCTATCCTCCTTACACATTCTCACTTATCTTGTATGCATTATGAGTTTGGCAACGATCAGTGAAGTTCGCTTCATTGTATTACGCTGTACAATGATGATAATGATGATTGCGAAACGGCGCCTGTGTTAGTGGCAAGAAGTGATAGAATTCTCAACGTACGGTCATAACGACGATGAGGACACAACCAGGGTATAGCAGAGTAGATGTTAGGACGGTATGAAAAAATGACCAAGTGACAATGATAGGCGAATCTGAGACCTGTGCATAGAACCCATTTGTTTATCCCTCCAGACAAATTTTCGAATACCTTCACAGAGACAAAGACACGCATAAACACGAGACTCACATTTTAACGGTCTTCCGTGTTTAGCTACCTCTAAATGTTCCGCCAGATTGACCTCCCGATCCGGACTGAATGCGGTCAAATATTGTTTTTCGTCATCAATCGCAGGGATCGGATAACGTCCGGTGGTCAGTTCGACCAGGGACAGACCGACGCTCCAAACGTCACTCAAAATGTTATACTGTTCACCGGTCAAACGTTCCGGAGCCATATAGCTTCGGGTGCCCACAAACGAGTTGGCCATCGAGTCGGTCAAGTGTCCGCTCACACCGAAATCGCACAGTTTGACCTCACCGTTCCGTTTGACCAGGATATTGGACGGTTTCACATCACTACGATCGGTGGAGTATCCAGGGGACCGGAGAGGGTGGGGGGGGGCAGGATGAGAATGAGAACGATCGAAACAAAGGTAAACACGACGATGGTCTAGTGTATATCACCACAACTTGTGATTGAACAGATAATTCTCATTCAGTCTCCGTCTGTATTTTTACTTTCTTTTATTGAATACATAATGACACAAATCCCAGGAAGGGGGAAACGATCANGCCGAACCACTTTATAGTTCCCTATCCCTTTTATTCTTATCAAATAGACTACGGAAAACGTATCGTTCTTTAAGCGTGTAAAGAGTTTTGTAAAGTATTATACTCAATGCCACCCTCTCCATGCCATTCGCATTGACTTGGGGATACAAATATGGATAAAACAGAGTTACGAATAAAGTAACAGTGAAGGTTTTGACCTTAATCAATGACGGGCTAAGTTCAAACACGTTACGATACTGTCTACGAATGTTTGGCCGCTTTTCCCCGAAATCCAAAACGACCAGGAGAAGCGCCTTAACTCCAAGTGACAGGTTGCTTAACAACTGCAATTTGTCAGATTGGACGCACACAGATAGTAAGCCGGACAAACGCATGGAATAGTTGCACCAACACAAACTAAGGGGAACACCTCACAAAACATGAAAATATCTTGTATGGAACGATCAAATCTTCCTTCGCTTTGACTACAGCAATTATTCAAGGTCTCGTAATATACAAGGAAATGCTTGATGAGTGCGAGAGGGCATGTGCAAACTAAGCACTTCATCGGATAATAGAAAGCACTTTTACATAAAGCAGTGATGTCTTGTCAAAACTGCTGTGTTGCCCTTTTCAACCGGATCACCATGGCCCGGATAACCTCATCAACTCCCGCTCTCACTTTAACTAGTTGTCATAGTCATCCATGTGGTACAGAAACCGTATCAGGTAGCCTAGGACACACTGATTCAGGAAGCTAATCTCAGCCGACGCATTGCACCGATGCACCGGCATCAGACAGAAGCATCTCAGGGGATTTCGCACATCGGATCAGAAAGTCAATTAAGCACTGAATCAGGAAGTGCCGCAATTAGCGTCAGTGGATGGTGGACTGATGATTTAATTTACCGTGTGGGAGCGGAATCCTTGTCACTCCCAATACAAGTACACTTTATCTATGACGGAGGAGGGGCTTAATGCTCAAAAAGCGTTGGAACGAAAATACATCTGTGTATTGCGGTCTACGCAGTATTGTTTGCAGCGGGTAGGTTTATACAAATAGAGAATGCAGACGCAATTTGCGATCAGCTACGGACACCTGGAAACGCATGTGTACACTTATCGGAATCATCTTACTTCACTTTTACACAACTACCTGAACGGAAACGAATGTTCGGTTTCATGGACCTTGCAGAACATCGTCAACCATGTTTGGCGATCAGATGTCAAATCGTCAATGCCTCTGACCAACACATTCCGTTTCCAGTGGCGGGGACCGACGATAGACCGTTATCACAGGCGTTACAAGCCTTTTACGATGGCATGAATCCACGTTCTAATCGACCACCAAGACGACAGTACCATTCCAAACACGAAACGGGGATAAACATTCTTTGGAGCAATAGTGTGTCCGGGAGAGACGTAGTAGGTGGATAAACCGGTATAGTAAATGGCGTCTGAGGAGGGGAAGTTTTAATATCGCAGCAGTATACAACTGCGGCGTCAGCTGGTCTGTAGTATTCGGCGTAGGCACAAGTATTCGAATAACTTCAACCTCCTGGTGTCTTTGGCTCACCCCGTCCAAGCACCACTCTAGTGGATGATAACCGGGCGGACACCAGCGCAAATAACACGAATATTAGTCCGAAGGCTGATTGCACTGCTCGTTCAGAACGCATGACGAAGAGATATTCCGTACAAACAGTCAATCTTCGTCTTGCACTCGGGAATAAGACAGTTCTTAAGTAGTTAAGAGATTTCCGATTTGCTAACAGTTGACGAATAGATGCTGATCAGCAAACTCTGTGAATCTTTCCAGGGGGTATTCATTAGGACACGATAACACTTGGTTCCCACAACTCGAGTGGATTTATTTCAGTTTTTTATTATATGCGAAAAGAGAGGGAATCAACCAGATGGTCACGCGGTGTGTGAACTAGAAGCCTAACAGCCCAGGGTTTAAATTGGTGAAATATATCAGGTGCCCGTAGGAGGAGTAATACTGCCCAGGGGAAACAAAGAATCGCTTTAGTACAGTTGGGTAGTTTGATTACATATGTTTAATCAACAGCTGAAATAATATGTTAGGTGCATATGGTATGACTACACGAACAGACCGAACTGAAAGTATCAGGCTCCTCTGAGCAATCGAAACCTACTTATATATTTACATATTTAACACTAATCTTTACAGATACGGCGCCAAATAACCACGGGTGAGCGAAAAAATATGCGTACAAAAGAGGGGAAAATAAAACAGTCAACTTTGGGGAGTAACAATTTTTTATTTGTTTACTGCACGCCGTTTTGTGTTTTTTTTGCTTCTGTTTAAGTTTGGGATTGCAAACAGGAGAGGATGCATTCGCGCCACTGACTTCGGTTGGATGCCATATCCCGCAGTGTCTCCAGCCAAAGACAATCTGAATTTTTGCGGCCCCAGTCGGGGAGCCGGGAAACCACAACGGAGGCCAGATCCGAGCACAACCTCTTTAATCCTCTGTGCCACGTCATAACCTGCTCACCTCGCTGTTTCTTCCAGCCCGGACCGATGTCTACGAATAGTGCACGGTGCGGTAGACGGTGCTCAGGCATTCGTAGGACGTGCCCTAGCCACCTGAGATGATGCTGTGAAATTATTTTGCTCAAAGGAAGACTATCTGATCCTAGCACCCGTTGTCTGTCTACATCGTTATTCACGCGATGCTCCCACTATACGCGGGCGATGTTGAGCAGACAGCGGTTGTCGGAGACTGATAGTCGCTGGACGTGATCTGCTCGGAGAGGCTAGGTTTCACAGCCATAGAGCAACACGGTGCGTGCCGTTGCGCAATACACACGTCTTTTCAGTGAAAGGGATAGGTCGCGCCGGCGCCAGAGATGCCGCAGATCACGCGTTGAGATCTCCTCACGCACACCTCCGTCAGTCGCTTTGCAACTCCCACGGTAGACAAAGCTTTCGACTACTTCCAGAGTGTCATTACCCAACGAAAGTGCAGGAGTGGGTTCCTGAGAATCTTGCAACAACACTTTGCACTTCGAAGGTGCAAATGACATACCATAGCGAGTAAATTCAATTGCCAAACGGTTCAACGACTGTTGAATCGTTGGTGCGTTGTCGAAACCTACCTAGTCTATTTTTTTCGAAAGAAGGTNCAAGTTGAGCGCTTTGCGGTAGTGTCCATTTGTGGATGGTCATTCTAGCCAAGCGAGGAAAAATCATTTTCTAACCGAAACAATACACCTCAAGGAATCCTACTCAACATTACACCTCCCGTAAAGTCAATCAACCTGGAACAGATCAGTAGACTGGCCACAGCCCATTCCCACCTACCCTTTGAAACATATGTAAACTGAAAGATGTCATTTTGAAAGGCAAAAAGGTGCGAGAGGCATTTGTTCCCAAAACAGAAGTACCTGTGAACTGTGGATGAGCCCAATCCAGACCTAGAACAATGATATCTCCGGGAACCGGACCGAGAAAACTTAATCTATACTTGACTATTTACAAGCTCATCAACGTGAACCACATTAACGTTCGTACACAAACGAATCACTGTGTGATAGCAGATGGAGATAGACCATAAATAGCGTACCTTGTTCACTTTCTCCCCACTTAGCCTGACGTAAACATGGCGACCACCACATAGTTGGCTCCATTCACTAGCTCACGCAATGCAGTTATTAATTGTAGTTCAGTGATCTGACACATACAAGTACACACACACACAAATGCTGAACTCATATCTTTCTAAAACATACATGGTGCTCCGTTATAGTTTCACGATAGGATGGCCACTCTAATCGCGTTTACTGTAGAAAGCAAACGGTCAACTAGCGAACGAACAACCAGTAGTACATGCGTGACCACAATGGTGCGTTAACAGAAATGGGAATTTGTTTCGCTGGAAATTCGAACCCATACAGGACACAATATTTGCGGGTAATTTGCCACTGTTCTTCCTCTTCCTCTTCAGACAGATAGATGGTTTGTTCATTCATCCCGGTTGTGAATCCTATAGGAAAATTCATCTGATTTGACCTGAACAATCTAGCAGTGTTCTGCCCACGAAAACAAATCATAAAATCTTTATGATAAAGATTTTTGTAACGTGAGGAGACATTGCCTTCACGGATTTGTTTATGAACAGATATCTAGTCATTGAAAAATCAAGCAACCCAGCAATAGAGCAACGAGGTGGAAGCAATGACCTGATCTAGCAGTGGGTCAGGTGTTTGCTACGAACTTCTATTCCAGAGATTGCTGACACAAAAACTAGCAACGTCTTCAGGGATCATCACTTGTTCATTGAAGTAATACTCACCTATTCACGATTACCAATCGAAATGGTCATTCTCCTATCCACGACCCGGTCGCGTATAGCCTTTTTCGGAGTAACCTATCACCTCTGATTTTGCTACTTAGAGTTCTGGGGTATGGAATTCCGGTGCACACAAACGCGCGCCCCCACGTATGCAGACAGCAAGTTTATGTGACCATTAATTGGACTCTATCTACGGCAAATCAAGCCAAACCTTATGTGCGCGAGAACGATGTGTAGATCCACGCGTTTCAGCAGGATAGAATCGATCTGTTTATGGA